CTCAAAGAAATCACCAACAGAGTGAGAACAAAATGCACAGAGTGGGAAAAAATTCAGCCAATTGTTCCTCAGATGAAGAATTGAAAAATCAGATACTCTCCCCAGCCAGATACAAGGCTCTAGCCCTGCCACACCCCAGGGAACACACTGCCTAGCTGCTTGGGTTCCAGAGGTTCTGAACTCCACACAGCCAGGCAAATGGCCCCAGAACCACATTATGGGGATGCATCTATACTAGTTGCATGGAGTATCTGAGCTCTTCTCAGTTCAGCAACCCAGCACAATCCATCTGGGGAACATTCAGGCAGCCTCACAGGTCACAGAGGAACCAAGCTCATCCAAGACCATACACCCAGAGTCACATATAAGGAAGTGACCAGCTGAGCCAACAGGCCTTGTAGAATTTGACCTCTGCCCATCAGAGCACAGATCTCCAGCTCCATAGTTCAGTGGTGCAGCTCAGCTAGCCACATGGTGGGTCCCAGAGGTTTTAAACTCCTCTCAGCCAGATGCAAGGAAACTGCAGTGGAACATTTTGGAACTATGCTCTCCCTAACTACTTGGGTCCTGAAGGTTTTGAACTCTACCCAGCTAGGTGCTAGGAATAGTGATAAACACTAGGGGTGGGTCCCTGCTAGTCAACTGGGTCACAGTTTCTGAACTCCACTCAGACAGATCCCAGGCCCCAGCAACACACTCTGCAGGTGTACCCCTGCTAGTCCCTCTGAGCTCTGCCTAACCCACATCCTAGAGCAACCTAGTGCAGTACATCAGGAGAATGCCCAGGTAGCCTCACAGGCTAAAGAGCACATGTCTCCAGGGCCATAGATCAACGCTGTGCCCCAACTAGTCACAGGGGCTTTAGAGGACTGAAGCCTTGCCCAGTGCAGCATTCCAGTGTAATTGATCAGGAGGGTGCCTGGCCAGACACATGGGTCCCAGAGGAAAATGACAAAATGAAAGTGTGATGTGCAGTCTCAGTCCTCCAGCCCACCAAGAAAAAACCCAAGATGCTGAAATGCAAGGCACAGGAAATCACACAACTAAACTTTCTGAAATAATAGCAACTGAAGCAAAGAAACAACCCAATGAAGCAATAGAGGAAATCGGATCACAAATAATCTCTCGAGTAAAAAATGAAATGACAAATATCATGAAATAAATGTGTGTATCTAACCAAGATCTACATAAAACAGAGGAACATAACAAAATGATGGAAGTCAATGGACAGTATAAGATAGAATTAGAATGCATGGAACAGATTCAAAGGGATATTCAGTATCTTAGTTACTTTTTACTCGTTGCTAAGACAAAATACCTGAAGCCCAGGTTGGGAAAGGTTTATTTCTTACAGTTTTTGGAGGTTTAGTTCACACTCAGTTGGCTCCAAGGCAGTAATGTAGCTGGATACAAAGTCAACACTCAGAAATCAACAGTATTCCTCTACACAAACAACAACAACAAAAAACTCACTAAGAGAGAAATAAGGGAAACCACATGCTTCACAATAGCATCCAAAACATGAAATACTTAGGAATTAATCTAACAAAGGAAGTAAAAGATCTATACAGTGAAAAATTACATTACTCTGAAACAAGAAATCAAATAGGATTTCACAAAATTGCAAGACATTCCCTGTTCGTGGGTAGGAAGAATAAACATTGTGAAAATAGCCATTCTCCCAAAATTGTTATACAGATGTAATACAATTTCAATCAAAATATCATTAACAGATCTCACAGATCTAGAGAAACCTTCCCTAAAATTCAACTGGATCCCTAAGAGTCCTAGAACACCAAAGGCAATTCTGGGCCACAAAGGCAAGACAGGAGGCATCATAATCCTTAACTTCAAGTTATACTTCAAAGCTACTGTGATAAAATCAGCACGGTACTGGAATAAAAGCAGACCTCAGGATCAATGGAATAGATTAGAAGATACAGCCTTAATTACAAGCAAACTCAGCCACCTTATCTTTGACAAAGGTGCCAAATATGTTCCCTGAAAGAAAGATAGCCTCTTTAATAAGTGGTGCTGGAAAAACTGGCTCTCCATATGGTGAAAATTAAAACTAGATCCAAGTCTACCACCATGCACTAAACTAAAGTCAAAATGTGTCTGAGATCTAAATATTAAAACAGAAACACTAAATCTGCTGGAACACAAAGTAGGTAGAAATTTCTCTGGCCTAAGAGGAGACAAGAGAGTTCATGAACAAAAATCAAACTTCAAGGGAAATACTTCCCAGAATCAACAACTGGGTTCTCACCTTATTAAAAAGTTTTTACATGTCAAAAGAAATCTTGAACAGAGTGAAAAGAAAAGTCACAACTAGGGAAATTATCTTAGCCAACTCTCCCTCAAAGTAAAGGACTTCTATCTAAAACATATAAAGAATTTTTTAAAAATCAGGGAAACAGAATTCAAGGATCCAGTCCAAAAATGAGCCACTGAGATAAATACACACTTCTCAGATAAAAAATATAAGTGACATATAAATATATGTAAAAATGTCCAACATCAAAAGTCACTCAGGAAATGCAAATTAAACCAACACTAAGACTCCATCTCACCCCAGAAAAAATGGTCAAGATCAATAACAAATTCTGGAGGGGCTGTTAAGAAAAAGGAACTCTTGTCCACTGTTGGTGGGAGGGTAAGCTGGTGAAACCACTGTGGAAATCAGTATGGAGTTTCTTCAAAAAGCTAAGATTAGAGATTCCATTTGATTCAGCTATTCCACTTCTGGGCAGACTTCCAGAAGAATTGAAAACATCATACCTCAGTGATATGCAATGATGTAAGATAAACTACCATTCCAAAATTTACAAACAGGGAAATACAAAGCATTGGAACCAAAGCAAATCCAAAATCTAGCAGAGTAAATATTAAGTCCAGGAGTTTCATGATCAGTGTCTGAAGAAATCTTGTTGCAAGCTCCAAACAGCTTGGACTCCACTCTCACAGCACTTCCAGGGATTTCATCTTCAGCATCTTCTCTCTTATGCCCCCTCTGTTCAATCTTTGCAGCTTGCCTTGAATGATCCACATTCTTGGCTTTTCCAAACTTCTGAGGTCTTCACTGCATCTTTGACTTATCACTCGCAGATTTACACAATGCCTTCTCAGGGTCACACTGCCTGGCCTGTCATACCTTCTCAAATCCAGGTGGAAGCTGCCTTAACCTCAGAACTCATGCATTTCCATGCATCTAAAACCAGTGCCATGTAGATGCCACTGAGGTCTCCTGTCACCTGGAAAAGTAGTCAGACTTTCCTCTCTTGGGTGTAGAGGTCAAGTTCCTAGATCGCTGAGCTCTCTGAACCTGATCATGAGGAATAGCTTCTCTAAGTCACCAGCATTCTGGTTTCTGGTGTGGCCATCACCCTTATGGAACCTTCTGTGGCCTCTGTCACTACTCTGGAACCTGGTACTCTGTGGCTTTCTCTTCTGAGCAAAATCTTTCACTTTTTTAGTCTTGAGGCTTCAATGGGTGGAGACTAGCTGCTTCCTGGGATGGCCCCAGGACATGCTTTTCATTTCTCTGTTCCTTTTCAGCAATCGAGGTCTCAGATCTAGCTGTACAGTTCATGGTTTTCTGGTCAAACTCACATGGTTTTCTGGTCAAACTCAAAAAGCCTATTGGGCTTTTTGCTCTTGATTCACAAAATAAATCTGACTAAAACCTCCCAATAATAGCTATGCCAAACCCTCAACATTTAACTACCTTGAAATTTCTTCTTCCAAATTACTCAGTCTATTGCCCTTAATCTCAGTATCAGGCAGTCAATGGGCACAGGAAAAATGAAGAAAAATTTTCTACCAAGCCATAATATATATCTTATGGAGTCCAACAACCAATGCAATCCTTCTTCACAGCAGAAATCTCCCAAGCATGGTCTTTACTGGCAGGCTTTCCATTAGCCTTCTGGTCTCCTGAACTCTGGCCAGAATATCCCCTACAGGACAGCCTAAGCTATTTCACTGCCACTCTTTTAGGTGACAATTCCAAACTTTCCTAATCTCTTCCCACAAGTCATTTACCAAGCCTCTTGAAAAACATGGTCAGGTATAATCACAGCCACAACCCCAATCCTCTGGTAACAAATTTTGTCTTGGTTACTTTTCTCTCATTGTTGAGAGAAAATACTTGCACCCAACATGAAGGAAGGAAGGAATCTCATAGATTTTTAGAGATTTCAGCCCATACTCAGAGTGATCCTTTTATGAGACTGAAAAGATGACACCTGAATGAAACACATGAGCATCACATGGATCTTGAACTGAAGATGAAAAGTATAGTATCAGTGCTAAATTTTCAGAATTTGATCATCATTTTCTGATTGATTTAATTTTCTTATTCAGATGAAATACATAAAAGTACTTAAAGTAACAGGGTATGAAATACACAATACATTCTCACATATCTCAGGAAAAATATGAGAAATAAAACATGATAAAGGAAATGGGACAAAATATTAGCAATAGTGAATCTGTGTGAAGGATAAATGTATGTTCAGTGTATTTTTGGTATTTTCTGTAAACTTAAAATTATTTCTAATAAAAAGTTTTAAAATGGTCCTACTAAAACAACTAATCCTATCTCTCCACCAATATCAAGAAATCCAAGTTCTGATAAAATTCATCTATGACAAATCAACATCCATCATCTTATTCAATGGAGAGAAGTGGAAGCTTTCCTCCTAAAATCAGGGAAAAGATAAGGATGCCTATTATCACCTATTTTGTTCCCTATGGATCTCAAAATATTCACTAGAGCAAGCAAGTAAGAAAAAATAAAGAGGTTGTGAATAAGTAACAAAATAAAGAAGTGAATGTAACATTATTTGCAGATGACAGGATCCTTTGTGTAGACAATCCAAAGAACTATACCAAAATTCACCTGCAATTAATAACCAAATTAAGTAATGTAGCAACATGCATTATCAACATTTAAAAATTAATAGCTTTTCTATGCACTAATAATAAACACTGTGAGAGTTCTCACTTTAGCAGCACATATACTAAAATTGAAATGATACAGAGAACATTAACATGGCTCCTGCACAAAGATGACACAAATTTTTGAAGTGTTCCATAAACACTGTGAGAAAAATTAAGGAAATAACACCTTTCAAACAACATCAAGTAAAATGACCTAAATAAGACTCATCCTAATCAATGAAGTGAAAGACCTCTACAATAAAAACTACAATATTATTAAAAAGAAGATCAGAAAGGGTATCAGAAAATGAAAATCATGCCTTGCTCTTAGATGGGCACAACAATAGGCAAAATCGTTATATTTCCAAAACTGTTACACAGATTTAATGCAGTTTCAATCAAAATATCAGTGGCATTATTCACAGAACTCAAGAATACAATCCTAAAACTTATGCGGAATTAAAAGAAACCTACAACACCACACGCAATTCTGGTCAATAAAAGCAAAACAAGAGGCATCAAAACCTGGAATACCAATTTATACTACAAAGCTGCCGTAATTTAAAAAGCATGGAACTGGTTTGAAAAAATTATAGATCTATGGAACAGAATAAAGGATGGAGAAACAACACCAAGCACACAAAACTACCATATCTTTGATGAAGGAGTCCAATACTTTTGCTGGAGGAAAGATATTCTCTTTAACAGATGGTACTAGGAAAACTGAATTTCCACGTTCTGAAGATTGGACTTAGACCTATTATGTCTCCCCATGCAGGAAACTAAGTTCAACATGGATCAAAGATCTAAATATTAAAACAGTGTGTTACATAGAAGACCATATTAATATTTTTGATTGGATTACTGAACACAACTGTTTGCAGTCTCACTGTTTGAATGTTCGCTTTGTGTGCTTTGATCCTGTGACCTGAAACACTGTTTCTAAAATGATAGCGAGTAATCTATTAACTGGTGATAGCTTACTGTTTTTTTTTTTTTTGTAGTTCTGAATTACTTGTACCCTTACACTGTTTTGTTTTGTTCTGCTTTTTTTCTCTTTTTCCTTTTAAATAAAAAAACACAGAAACAATCAATTGAAAGATAAATTAGGTAAAACTCTGGAAGAAATGGCTATAGGCAAAGACTTTCTTAACAGAACTCCAATTGCACAAGAAGTAAATCCAAAAATCAACAAATAGGATAACATCAAATTAAAAAGCTTCTGTACAGCAAAGAAAACCACCATCAGAGTGACAAGATAACCTACAGAATGGGTGAAATTTTTTTCAGTTATTCTTCAAATGACTAATATCTGGAATATACAAAGAAATGGGATATAGTATTGTAATTATGGTTTCCTATTATCTTGCTTTGAAGTCCTATAATGCTTTCCGTCTTTTGTTTTGATTGGTTTTATTCTGTTTCGTTTGATTTTATTATTTGTGATGATATCGACAGCTATTTTGAAGAAAACAGGACATTAGGGTAACTGTTGTCGATTTTCTATCATCTTGTTTTGAAGTCACATAATGCTTTCAATGCTTTTCAATGTTTCTTTTTGATTGGTTTTATTCTGTTTTGTTACATTTGATTTTCTTATGTGTGATAGTATGGGTATCTATTTTGAAGAAAACAAGAGACATTATGGTAGCCACTGTTCATTTCCTATTATCTTGTTTAGAAATCCTGTAATGCTTTCATTCTTTTATTTATATTGGTTTTAGTCTGTTTTGTTTTGTTCGATTTTATTACGTGTGAAGGTATGGACAGCTATTTTCAAGAAAACAAGAGACATTGTTTCATTTGATTTTATTGTGTGTTGATTTTATTGTGTATGACGGGATGGACAGATATTTTGAAGAAAATCAGAAACATTATTGTAGCCATTGTTCATTTCCTGTTGTCTTCTTTTGAAGTCCTGTATCACTTGCGTTGTTCTCTTCTGATTTGCTTTATTCTGTTTTGCTTTGTTTTATTTTGTTTTAAAATAAAAAGAGAAAAAAATAAACCATTTCCCTATCTTCAGAGAGGCTTTGTACATGATGAAACTTCATGGATGTATAAAAATGCATCAACCTCACAGTTTCAGGAATTATGTAGGACATGCATACCAGGAAGAGAGAAATCTTGGAGCACATCTTTAATATTGCTGCCATAGGACATGCTATTCTTCCTTTAAAACTGTCTTGAGTGGTTGATTATCCATCCAGATTGAAAGCTTCTAAACTGATGTGCCATGAATTGATAACAAAAATAAGACTAAATATTGATTACTTCAACTTTGGAAAGATGAATGAGAGTTAAGGATCACATGCAGTCTTTGACATAAACTATGACCTGCCATGGTCCATACCTCAAAAAACAGTGCGAATACAGGTATTGTCACGTGTCCTTGCCATGTATAACATCAGAAATATAACTTCAGTAGTTTTAAAAAATCAAGAAAAGCTCTTTGGACCAATATGAATTATGCTAATAATTTAAGTCTGGTGTCTACCTATTCTAGGCAAAATCACTGATATATGAAATGGTGCTGTGAATGTGCACCATTCACAGCATTTTGTTATTTTTGTTATCATCTTGTTTTGAAGTCACATAATGCTTTCAATGCTTTTCAATGTTTCTTTTTGATTGGTTTTATTCCTTTTAAAAGGAAATGTTAAATGCATTTAACATAAAGACATATTGCCCAAGATCTGTGAATAGGATACACACTATACTTCACTTAAAGTAGAATAGACATTCCCCTACATGATCTAATAAAAATGCAGAAACTGTAATTGTACATCTAAATTAATGAGCACATACAATATAATGAAATTGCCATAAGAGTGACATAAATGGAAAGGAAAAACATATAATGTTTTTGTCATTTTTAAATCTTTTATGTTTAACAAATACAAAAACATGAAAGTTATATATTTTAATGTGGTACCATGTAATGTTTGCTACATGTACGTATTGTATAATATTTAAATCATGTTAAATATATTTGTTTCCTAAAACATGCATTTATGTCCTTGTGCTAAATGTTTTAAATTCCTTTCTTCTAGCGTTTTCAAATGTATAGTACATAAACATTTCCTATGATCAACCTAATATGCATTGGTACCATGGAATTTCTTACTCTAACTGTATCTTAATACCAACAGATCAGCATTTTCCAATTGTGCCCTCTCCCCAATTGTCTCCAGCCTCTCATAACTAGCATTTTACTCTCAATTTCTATGAGATCAACTTAGATTCCACATATGAGTGACAAAATGAACCATTCGTCTTTCTATGCCTGACATTTCACTTAACATAGTTATCTCGAGTTTCGTACATGTTATAACAATGACAGGATTTCATTGTTTTTATGTCTGAATAAAATTCCATGTTGCATATGTACTGCATTTTGTCTCTCAATTATTTGAAAGACTCAGGTTGTTTCCTTTTCTTGGTTATTGTGCTTAGTACAACAATTAGTATGAGAGTATAGATATCTCTTTGACATACTGATTCCATTTCCTTTGGATATATACCCACCAGTGAAATTGCTATATTATATGATAATTCTATTTTTTAAATTTCTATCAATTTTCATATTTTTTTCCACAATGGATATAGTACTTTATATTCCTTTTCTGTATATCTTTACCAACATTTGCTATTTTCAGTCTCTTTGATATTAGTCATGCTTATTAAGGTGAAATGATGTTTCATTGTCATTTTGATTTACATTTCCTTGGTGACTAACAATCTAATCTTATAAAACCAAAATTTTAAGATGAACATTCTTTGATGAAAGAGATGTTACCATAGAATAATAATATGAGGGGTTCCACACTCCATTCTCATCAATGACCTGTGACATCATTTAATTTTCCATCATATCTGCCTCTAATGAATGATACATTTTATTAAAAATTTATATCTATGTTATAAAGTATGGTAATGTCTATTCATCTGAAAAATGGCCCAACATTTCATAAGTGTTTAGGTAATATTTGTTGAAATTATATATTTGAGTATTAGCAGTTCTATTTAGCCATGGATATATACTGATGAAATACTTGATTCCAGAAAGATAAAAAGTGTCTCTGAATATAAACATTTAGGATTATATAAATAAATCAGTTGAGATAGTGTTTTAGCATTATCTCATTAAGGAGTAAATTGGAATGCTGAGTGAAAAGGTGGGAAGATGTAGGGTGTAGCACTACAAAGACTATAAGCAACCACTGTCCTTATTGGTGGTCATATAGATAAAGTGAAACTTGGCATATTACAAGTCTGGTCTTATTAACATTTTGATAGGGGCAGGAAACACTGAAAAGGAGGCACTACTGAAGATTCTTACACTAGTAACAAATAAACAAAACCAGTGTCTTTCAACACACAGTAGACTTAATGGTTTTAACAGTACTCATTTTGAATGTCTTTTATGTCCTTTAATTTTTGTTGATTAACCTAAGGCAGACAGCATTATGCATTTGTCATAGAATCCTCTTGACCAATAATAGCCCAGTATTGCTGAGCAAAAACTGCTAGACTGGTAATCTGAGTTTTATATTCCACCCAACATTTATTCAACATTTCCTTCATGATACATCTGTGTTAGGTGCAAGGTATCATGCCACGTGGTGGTGTATAGAAATAAATAATTAAAGGAATTTTAAAATTTATAGTAAAGAATAATGCAAATATTTATGCCCATATATTTAAAGTAAAACAGGAATATGGAGTCAGATAGGGTGAGTTTCAGCTGGGAGTTGTGGTAAACACCTATAATTGCAGCAGTTGGGAGGCTGAGATAGGAAAATTGCCATGAGTTCAAGGCCAGCTTGAATCACACAGTTAGTTCAAGGGCAGCCTGAATTACATAGCAAGACCTTGTCTCAAAAAACAAAGATGAATTTCAATTGAAATGAAATGGTAAATTCACATTCTTTACCCGATACAAGATCTCAGCTAGGCCTTCTTTGGTTTTCACTTTTTTTTGAGACAGGGTCTTCCTATGTAGTTCAGGCTGGCCTGAACTATGCAGCCCAGGCTGGCCTGGGAATTGCTGTAATCTTCCTGCCCCATCAGCCCGAGTGCTTGGACTATAGGAGTGTAGCACCACACTCCTATAATCAGGCCGTGCCTTCCTTGAAGAAAAGATAAGTATTTCAAGGTG